TTGCTAAAATCCTAAAACATTAACCTAAAAACTCAAGTCTGTCCTTAAATAGCTCCCATCAGACTGACACTTCCATATGGATGTCATGCATGGTACAAAAATCTATTCAGAAATATCTAAACTGTCATGCTATATACAAATACTTTTTCGGATCAATGGTTAAAAATAGCATGGAGCAAATGAAGCCTGTAGGTCTTAGTGAAGACTTCCTTCTTTGAATCTTGTGGACTGGTGCTACATAATCACAAACAAAGAACTGTACCAAATAACAAAAACCACATCACTTGAGGACTTTCAACAGCAGCAACAACTAAAATGGATATCATGTGTAACTTGAAGAGAAAATGACGACATAATCAAGATGTTGACATTCCAAACTACTTCAAACAAAAGGTTAGGAAGGAAGCCTGCATCAACACTGGAATAAGCAATAACAGTTTCTTATAAATCAGGGAATAAACACAAATAGATTGAGCAGTTACGAATGGACAGAAAACATCACTGATTGATGTGAACCTCCTGGCTTAGTTAAATAGTTCAATATCTGACTTACTTTATTCATGACAAGAATGAATGGCAATTTGGTCTTGGAGAGAATACTGCAGGCATAAAGCATATTGAAAAACTTGATTTCTCGATTTTCCTGATTTTATAAACTTCAACTGAAAGTAGTACTGGTTGCTCAATCAGTGAATGTCAAATGTTTCCTTATAATGAAACAGCTAATATTATCACAACTATTCCATTTTATTATCTTATAATTATTGTTATGTTAGGTCACTTTATGAGTGATAATAGTAACATGTAACCCAGTACTACCTACCACATGGTTAGGTTATTTGTGACTGGTTACCCCACCAGGCTTTCCTGGTGAAGAGTATGGCTAGACACCAAACAGGATTAAAAACAAGACTTTTCAACAGGTGGATGAACATTCTTGTAAGGTCAAAGGCCATTTAAAAGCCCAATGGGATAAACTGGATATGTATGCATCCAGTGTGGTGATGACAAAGCATTGCTGGGCAGAGAGCTTTCTAGACTGAAGTCAACAGCAAAGGTGAATGCCTCCAGCAATGGAATCAAGGCCAAGCGTTTGTGACGAAGGTGAGCCTTAAAGTTGTCTGTGGTTTGACCTGGAGAAAGATGGGCTTGCCAGATCTATTTGCCCAAGACACACTATACATGAATTAATACCACTCCAGCTTTCAACCCAGATATATGGATGGAACTGGTCAGGTGCACAGCTGGTCATGGGACTGAGGATGATGATGATGATATAATTATTTACTCTAAATAACCAATGGGATTTCTAAACATGGAAATTAACATAAAATATTAATGATATCATCATTTCAACTTAGTCAATCAAATACTGATTATGTACAAGCAAAGGTTTGGGAGTTTGCAGCAAAGTTTATATATACATACATACATATATATATATATCTTTTGCTATCAATTTAGTACAAAAATACTTACCTGATCAAAACGAGTAGAAAAAAGGTTTAAAGAGGTGATAATTCCACCATTGGGTCCTAGTTGGTACCTTCATTTCATTAAGGATATTTGACAACTATATGAAAGCATGCAAAATTAACATTACCAGCATAATTTCAGATTAAATTTCCTTCACACACACACACATCAAAGTATGCATAAACAGAGATATTTTTCTTTCAAAATTCTTTCACATATACATTTTTTTGGTGACAAAATAAGTTCAAAAGTTAATCATTACCAATATTTGAATACAAAAAAAAACATTTCTAATTCTTATTAGTTAAACAGTGCATGCTAGAAAAAAATGGCAGTCATAATAGTTATGATAAAAACCAATGGAAATTAAGACAAAAGAAATACTATTGATAATAGCCAACAATACTTCAAATGAAAAAAACTTCATGATAATATTACTACTTGTTTACTGATAGCCACAGACTGAGTATCTGAGTAGCTAAAATGAAAAGTAAGTTAAATTAAGATGAAAGAAATACTCATCAAAAATTAATGATTGACAAGGTTTCATTTAATAAAAAAAAAAATCATGATAATATTACTTGTTTACTGATGGCCTGAGGTGTTGCATTGAAAGATGAAAAAAATACCTTTCAAAAATTAATAATGACTGACAATGCTTTCTAAATAATAATTCAAGATAACCTTCAAGAAGATTTAAGTTCAAAATTGTTCTGAAACGGATCTATCTGGAATGTACAATTGCCCTAATCATTCTTTACTGGAATGTGAATTTTCTGGCAAAACAGAAAAGAATCTATTAATCAAACTGGAAATTGCTTTTAAATTGAATTCTGAACAGGGTTTCTTAAAACCATTATAGGCTAATTTTATTTCTACATTTTATTAAGGAAATGAAATTCAATTTTTGATCTATCGAAACAACTTAATTCCACAATATCTCATATAGACAGAAACATTATGGTTGGCTTATACTGTGGAGGTATTTTTTTTCATGAATATCTGCTGTTGCTCATGGAAAAAAATTGATGAAAAATGTATTAAAGATGACATAATGTGTGTAGTAGTATGCACTCAACTGCCTTATGGGTAACAGCCATAGCTATATCTGTTGATATTTCTGAGATGAGGTATTATGTATATTATTTACATCTTTGTCACCATATTTATTATACGCTCCGGCCTTCCAGTGGTTGGAATGTCGAACTGAACCCTTTATTTCACTCACTGGGTAGACTGTTCTAGTTCCATGTGCCATGTTTAATGGATGTCAGTTATCAGTTATCTCCTGTTAATTTTCCCTCTGAAAGTTCTCCACTGCCAGGTATTGAACTCACACTTATTGGGTTCTATCACTGGATCTAACCAACGCCTTTATCCACTGTGCTATGTGTCCTTGAGGACATCTGTGTATGAATTCTGGGTACTATAAACCTAATATTTCAGCAACTATTTTTACTAGTGCTCATATTGCAATTTTTGCTGTTATCATTGCATGTTTTTACCAGAGCTCATATTACAACTTTGTTGTTATTATCGCTTTTCTCTGGCACTCCTTATTACTGGTTCCCATATTGTATTTATTTCTATGCTTGGTCAGCTCAGGAGATTTTTGTGGCCTAGCATATGTGCTGATTCCTTAAGTTTACGAATTTTCCAATAGTGTTCCTTGTCTATGATCTCAACTTGATCCCACAGAGGGCGGTGATCTCCCTTCTCTCTCCATATGAACTCTAGCAAAAACTGCAATATGAGCACTGGTAAAAATGGTTGCTGAAACATTACGTTTATAATGCCCAGAAATTCATACACAGATGTCCCCAAGGACACATAGCACAGTGGATAAAGGCATTGGTTAGGTCCAGTGACAGAACCCAAAGAGTGTGAGTTCAATACCCAGCGGGAAAATTAACAGGAGATAACTGATAACTGACATCCATTGAACTAGAACAGTCTACCCCAGTGAGCGAAATAAAGAGTTCAGTTCGACATTCCAACCACCTGAAGAAGGCCGGAACGTTATAATAAATAGTCCGAATAATGTAAATACTGTGATTTCATATGTAAGCCTCATCTCACTATACTGAAGAGCCTTTATCCCCTTACTTTCCATGGTACTTCTGGTATGTACTGAAGAGGTTTGATCCCCTTATTTTTCCTGGTTCTTCATTTGTCTCCACCCTCCTATCTTCCTCCCTCTCCCTAAGACATTGTCTAGATAGGGGAGATCTTGACCATTTTTCATAGGAGTGTTACTCCAGAACTGATGTTCTTGTTCGTCTTCAGAGTGTATATCACTCTTGATTTCACTGCCATATTTGTCTTGCCTTAACATGACACTTTCACCTTCATTACTTTCAGGCTCCCAATACATTACATCATCGCTATCGTGTTGCAATCTAACTTCTGTATGCATAAAAAACTTAGTTCCGTTCTTTCTTTCCCTGATATCAAAATGTTGCGATCTTCTTTTCTTTTATGTGCCGTGTCCCTTAGGCGATCATGGCTCTCCACTTTTTCCTATCCCTTGTAGTTCTCAATATGTTTTGTCCTTTTGCTACTTCTCCCAAACCCTGTTCTGTCATCCATTTTCTTAAATCTGCTTGATGTCACGCATTGCTTTCTCTCTATCCACCCTGTGAGTATCAGATTCTCCAAACCCTCCTTTCTCATTACATGTTCCAGAAATTTCCACTGCCACTTCCTGATGTTCAGTATAGTGCCAAATGGGTTTTTCAATCTTCCAGCATGTGATATTGTTCTATAACTTAGAAACATTTCTTCCGAGATTGTTGCTATCTTTTCTTTCCATTGTATACATAGTTTTCATGTTTTTTTTTTGTTTTTTTTATAGTTTGCAACATTCTTTCTGCTAATCCATTTGATTGTGAATGGTATGAAGGGAGTGGGGTATATGGTTTGGATCCAGTTTTGTTCAACCATTGGCATAGTTCCTCATCACAGAACTTTGAGGCGTTGTCAGAATTCCATTCCTTGAAAATATGATCCTTAACACTTGTTTCACAGTTGAACCTCTTTTGTTAGAGACCTGTATTACTTCTGACCAGCTTGAATATGAATCTACCAGTATTAATAATCCCACTCCATTAACATGGGCATGATCCATGCATACTCTGCCCCATGATTGGGACTCTTTAGACATTATCTCATAATGAACATCGTCATGTATACTTTTTATAATTTTGCCCTTTTGTGTTGTTGGCATAACCACTACATCTCCATCCCAAATTACATCCTTTTTCTACAGTTAACTTATGTTTAACCTCTTTAAAGCATCTTTTCTGAACAATTATTCCACTCATTATTTTTTATTCTGAACAATATACTGTTCAATATGGGATGTCACTTTTTATCCTCAGCCAATTTGTCTATCAATATCAGTTTTGACCCAGTGTAAGAAAGTATCTTCAAATTTTTCTTCCTCTTCCTCAGTTTCATAAGTAATAAACCTCAATCTCAACAAAGGATTTACATGCTGTTTCTTACAATGGTATTTCCTTTCATGTACTCAATATCAAATTCAAACGCCATTAACATGGCTCTTTTTAAAATTCTAGATGTTACCATAGGAAGTTCCTTTCATATGATTAAATATGAATTCTAAAGGTCTGTGTTTGTACCTAAGTTGGAATTTCTTTCCAATCAGAAACATTATTGATTTGAGTTTTTAATAACCATTTTTCATTTTTTTTTTTCAATGAAAAGATGCCCATCTCTTCATTTTGTTGGACTAGATCTACTTTTTCTTTATAGATTTACACATATCTTTAAAATGATTCATTTTGAAACACTTTTTCCATTTTTTTTTTATATGCAGGACATTTGTTTTTTTCTTTGATGTTAATATCCAAAATAAGTACACATTATTCTATCTTTTTTCTTTATTGCATATGTATCCAAAAAAAATAAAAAATAAAAAAAAAATACACCAGTCTTTATATACATGTCTTATTGTCATTTACTAGTTTTGCATCCAGTCCTTAAAATAAGGCTTGCATCACTGAACATTTAAATGTGAGGTGATCAAATAAAAAATAAAAACAACAAATAAAAGGATACTGTTTCATCACTTCTTTGTAGTTGACTGTATCACGAATATCTACAATGGGAAGTCAAAAGAAAAATAATAGTTTAAAATTAAAATCATTCATTAAACTTTAAATAAGTTGATAAGAGTGGTCCAGTTTGCTATGTAAATTCATTGTAAATTGATCCAGATACAAATGCTAAAATAAATATGCTCATATAAGATTTTTTAAAGTAAAAAAATAAAAAATTTTGAAATTTGTAATCAGGATTGCTTAATTGATAATATGAGGAAAAAAAAAAAAAAGGACCTGAGATTACAATTTCATGTTTTAATTTAAGAAATCAATTTTTTTTTTTTTACAGCTTATCAACCTGTTGTGTATTATTTAAAGCATGCATTCACATTTTAAATCACATGGTATGAGCATATTTGTTTTTGTAGGGTGATCAATTTACAATTAATTTACATAAAAAAATGGACCCTCTCCCCCAATAAACTTTCAGAAAATTTAATTATTTTTTTTAATATGTTCTTTATCTGGAGTGCTTAATCTATAATAATAAAATTGGTTCAGAAAAAAAAATTATTTCTGGTCACATTGCCTATTGTACAACTCCACCAAAATCATTTTTAAAATTCAAAATATTTCAATAATTTATTATTTTTAAACAGTTTCTCTTCAGGAAAACCGAAGAAGAAGAAGAAGAAAAAAAAAAAAAAAGTGTCATCAATGACACCAGGCCAAATTTAGTACAAAGAAAATCTAATAGTACTGAGTGGGGAAAACTGACAAGGCACCCAAGGAATATTGAGTTTCAGTTGTTAAGAAACAAGAATAATTTTATTTTTTTTTCAAGTGTATATTATCATTATTTCAACATGTATATAATGCAATTTTATTTTTCTCTATTATGGAGATATGTGAATTCTTATTACAGTGAAAGAAAAAAAAACAGAAGTAGAAAATAGTAGTAACTGATACCTATATTGGCAGGGAAAGAAACTTCTAGAACAGCTGGGTCCAGGTTTACAATGTATGGTGCTTCTTTTTTGGCAAACAGGTGGGCAGTTAATTGCTAGAAGAAAAAAAAATGACAATAAAAATAAACAAAAATCATTATTCAAAAGAAAAAGAAAGAAACATAGTCTTTGCATCCAACAATGTTACTTCCTTTCATTTTATATTTTCAAGTTCAAACATTTAGAATGCAATGGTGCCACCAAAAGCAATAGAAAAACAAACATGCAAGCATTTAACAAATTTTTAATATTATTTACCATATGAAGTTATCCACCGAGTTGCATTTAAAATCTTCAAATCTTCAAGCCCAGATAATTATCAGGATTTCAAAGACTGATTTTCAAGCTTTGCAAGCCCTCCCTACTTAGCATATAACAATCTTTATTCTTTAATTAGGAATCCAGGTTGTTTGACATAATTATTAGCAAAATTTCAATCTGATTGTTCATGTCTTAAAATTTGGTAGATTAAGTGTATTGACAAATTGATAATGGTGAAGATTATATTGACATATTTTTTGTTAATTGATCAGTTACCTGCTATGCTCTAACTTTACAAGAGCCAGATCAGACCAAAAATGGAGTGCTACTGCCATATATGTGTAGGAGCTGCCCAGTTTTCACAAGAGTCCCAAATCATCTACACGGCCTTGTGGGTGATGAATTGTTTTTCATCTTACAACCCCTTTCCTGCAGATGAAATGTTGCAACCTCTCACTACTCTACTGCTATTTCCATGGAAAATGTTCAAATAAGTTACATTCCTAATTTCCCTCAACTTTAACCATCCTAGCGAAGACCCTCCATGCCACATACATTTTGTCAGGATTTCAAGTTCGATTATTATGGGAAGGGGAAGGTAGAAAAACTATAATAACCACCATTAAACTCGGTGCAAAAAGAAAGAAATGATAACGAATTCTTACTTGTAACTGGTGTAATCTTATGATGGCAATCATTTGTATCAAATTGCAACAAAAAAAACAATATATGTTGCCTCCAAGTAATTCTTCTTGTAGAAGTAATGATAGAAAAATAAAGAGTTAAGACTCTTATTAACAGCTTCGGTAATGTGTCCAGTCAGCGTCGAAAGAAGGTTTTAATGAAGGAAGAAAAGCTATTAAAAAATGTTTTTAAATTTTATATATCTCTCTCTTTGAACACATATGCAAATTTTGACTTCCTTTCAATCAGATGGGGTCAACTGGAAGACATAATAATAATAATATCTTTCATTATATTTTCATCACAAGATCACAGTTGAATTCCCTCATTTCTCCGTTTCCACAAGAGTTTCACTAAGGTGAAGTGCACAAAGTTTCTACAATTTAGGTGAACAATCCTCATTCCCTTCATATTCCTTTAGTAAGGAGTAAGTTCCATTCAGATAGCTACTTCCTAAGAACTTTTGCTTTGTGAAACTGGATCCCAGTAGGATACTTTTCCTACCACTACAATCTTAACCTCTTCAAGTCACAAGTTAACTGTTATCTTTCCTACATAAATGACACCCCTCAATCTTACTGCTCACACAACAACCACCTTCAGTAATACTCTACCTTGGGTGATCCTTGGGCCTTGAATATGGTTAACATTAGTATAAAAAATTGTTTGGCATTTCTATTGAAAAATTACTTCAGATCATGAATATCAGAAAAAAATATTCTAAATTTAAAAATGTTATATTATGTGATAAATCATATTCTTACTTACAAAATTTCAAATAATTTCATGTTAAATTAAAAAAGTTAATATTTTTAATTAAAGTATATTATCACCTCCTTTTTTCTTGTGTTGTGCTAAAAAATAAGACTTCCATAAAATTTTCATAACAGCCGAAATATGAATTTAATTTAATACTTACTTACCTTTTCTTATTTATCATTATCAATTAATTAATAATAATTTCCCTCGCTTACCTTTTATTTATTTATTTTTGGGGGCTTATGATCTACAATAAATTTACATAGCAAAAGTGACCCCCACCCTCCTTCTTAAAACTTAGAAAATAAAAATTATTTTGAGAGTTTTTATGAACAAAGAAAAATTGAAAACAAAATAATTATTTCTTGGAGAGGTACATTTTTTCTGTAGAAACGCCAATTACGATTTTTGTGTACCTAAATTATTTTCCCCACTCGACTCATCCTATGGATTTAAATCTGTTGAACTTTTAAGTTGTGGAAAAAAAATTAAATTACATTTAATAATTACAATGTTTACAGTTACCATTTTTCCCTGTCAATGGCAACGGTATCTAATATCATTCCACCATGATGTTATGAAATTCACAAGGCTTTTTTGTTCGTTTTTTGAGAGAGATAAAAAAACATTTTCCAGTTACTTTTTTCACGGACATGTCACAGGCATCAGATTTTGACATGCGACTGAAATGACGGATATTGACGACAGGAAAATTCTAAACTTTTTTTTTTCTTAAATCCGTCAAGTTAGTAAGCATTTCAAACAATTTTTGTGAAGAACATATAATCTTGAATAATAAATTCAATCAAGGACCAAAAAACCTGTTTTTAAAGTTTTTTAGTTTCATTCATACCTACTTCGAACTTGGTTACTTTTTAAATCGCTTGTTTATTTTCTGTTAAGTCTTTACTCTTTCTTTTATGTATAATTTTTGTCATCGAACCACTCAAATTATGTGAATGTAAATTTTAATTTCATTTTTTCGTTTTACTTTATTTATTTTGGCTTCATGCTTTTTAATAGGTATTACGGAAACTATTTAAATTTTTTTTTTTTTTTTTTTTTTTTAGAAAACTTCTGTTCTACGCAAGACAGAAAAAAAAAGAAATTCGTACCTGTACAAAGGTGGTTTTACCAGAACCAGCCATACCAAGCACGATGACACATGTGGGTAAGGCCTTTTTCGAATTATCACCAGCGGCAGCCCCAATTTCATCAACATTTTCAGAATTTGAGCTTTTTTCTTCTATCTTTACTTTCTCTTCTGCCATCATCTCCGCCATGCTTTTGAAAATGAACCTAGCTCGCATTATCGTAAAAATTACAAAAATAAACAAACATATTTTTTTTTACGAAATCAAATATTTATTTAAAACATATTTTTAACTAAAATTTTGTTTTTAATTATGAATGAAAGCTTAGTCATATTTCTGACATTGTTACAAAAATGCGATGGGAAAATACGAAACTTTTGTTTACATAAAGCCTTCAGACTTCAAAGCGCACTTCATGTAGTATGGAGGTGAACGATAGACTGGCAATATGAATTGATTTCACTCAATTTGTTTTGTTGACATTAGTTGAGTTTTTGTATGACCCACAACTGAAAAGTTACCCTCACTTCGTAGTATAAATCTTCTTTAACAGAGGTAAACGTGAACCTTAAGCGTCAAATCTGGGGGTCACTTCCATTCCAATTATCACTCGGCTAAAAAGAAAGATTTCTTTCAGAATTTCAGTGAGATGGCTGGAGTTTGGGCAGAAAGAAAAGTTTTTCGGGGCACTTTCAAAAGGTCTCTTTATTTAGTATTAATTATTAAAATTTAAGCCGGTTTTCTTTTCAGTCGATCTTTTACTGCTTTTGTACAGTTATGCAAAAGGCTTAAATTAAAAATATACTATAATTGAAAATTACTTAATAAAAAACAAATCCTTATTTTTTATTTTTCATACTGCATCAAGAATCCATTGAAAAGGGAAAGAGACAAAATTTGGAAAACATGGACCTTCGTGTCCGCAAAAATACAAGTTTCTGATGACACTACTTTTTAAAGTTTTTTTTTTTATGTACTTTCACTTTTCTTCGGCAATGATTATTTTATAAAGCGATGATTAAATAAAAACTAAAAACTGATGAAAGTGAATTTATACATTTAATTTGTTCTTGAGATTTTACAACAAAAATAATACGTTAATATTATTCTTTATATTGGAATGGTTGGGAAGACAACTGATTCGAGCGAGCAGCTTTTATGGTTGGTAAATATTGGTTCACGTATTTTAATAATTTTTAGTTAAATAAATGTTTAAAAATTGTTTTCCTATTTATTTATTGTTAAAAAGTAAAAACTAAAAAAAGTATTGCATTCGTCTTTTTAATACAGTTGTATTAATTTTTAGAATAAATAATCAAATAAATTAAATAGTGTTTAACATTTTTTGTGATAAATTCTCATGCACATCAAGAAAGGTATGTTTAATTCAGGTTTTACAATTCTAATCACAGTTTTTTATATCTAAAAAACAATAAACATCGCCGAAGAGTGAAGATAATAAAAATAATAACGGTGTTAAGGGAAAAACATCCTTTACCTTTTGTTTTGTTTTCTTTTTCTTTTTCGAATATGAAGGTAAGGTTTATGTTTGCCCAAATCCTTTTGTTTTCCTTTAACGTTTTATCATCGTTTTTACTACTAGAGAGACACAACAAAACAAAGTATAGCACACAGACACTTTTTTTTTTTTTTTTTTTTTTTTTTAGCATAGACAACGCGGGTGAATTTCCTGAAGAAAGATAATTCTGAAAAACACGATTACTGGTAATCAATATTCGATAATTTTCCAGAGTTTCGTAGATGGACAATCCCGGAATTACTCCATCCATTCTTCAGTGGCTATCAGCAATTGACTGTTTATACTTAACTTCTCGATTTTTCTTTTCATGTGCACTTTTCATTGGTGCAGTGCAAGTTTGTTTTTTTCATAGTGTATGTGTCCGTTTGCGCACGTGTGGTCAGTTTAACTTTTTCTGTCTTTTTTCTTTTTCCATGTGCATAAAATTATTACATTTTGTGTTTTATTTTCCTCATTTAATGTTTCACTCTGTTTTTTTGTTTGGTTGGGTTTTTTTTTTGTTTTTGAAAATCGCTTGTCGCAAAACTGCAGTAATAAATTAAATGGCTAATTGTTGTTTGACGGCGTTTCCGAAATTTATTGTAATTTTTCCTGTCTGCATAGATTGCAGTTATTTCCTATATTTCTTTTTATCTTTTATTTATTATTATTAATACTCCATTCTGGAGTTTTGTTATATCAATATTTTCCGTATGCTAAGAGTAAGACGCATTTTCTTTCCAGAAAAATACCCTCAGTCACAAAAACTCCCTGACTTAGCACTGAAAGGTCAAGTTGTAGAGAGGAATTTGCCAACCCTCATGAAACCCAGTCACGAGATACAAACAATTAGAATATAAGCCTACAATTATCATTCATATGTATTATTCTGTATATCCCGCTACCATTGTTGTTATTTGTGTGTATTTCTCGAGTATATTGATGAGGCTGCTTCACAAACCCCCCAGCTACATAAAACATGCTGACAGTTACGTTTCATGCGTAACACGCCGTTTGTGTTCTTGAACGAAGCCCAGAAACATCAGCTGAAAGTTAGATGTATTGTAAGTAAACACGCCGTGTGTTGAGATGTCTTGTGGCTTGTGGTGGCAAGTATGACTTGTTTCTGACCTGAATAGGTATAACATTGTGCTACTATATTGACACTTTCCTTGGAAATAGCGATAGATCAGTGAGAAACACGCCACCTGCCGCGTATGTGTGTGTGAAACAGAGAGAGAGAGATTTGTTACCCACACGGACTCTGAGATGCTTTTGATCTCTATCGAGACTGGTAAGTGAGGACTGGTCAGCTCCCGCACAGAACAACAGTACTCCATTTTTGGCCTGATCTGGCTCTTGTAAAGGTAGAGGATAGTACGAGGAGACAGGTACTTATAACTTACTGGAGCGGTACACAGGGAGTTGGCTGTTTTAGCGATGGATCGTATGTACGAGGTCAGGTGTGAGTTTGAAGCCCAGGCAATAGTCTATCAAAACATGGGTTCGCCTTGAAGGGAGATCCGTTCATCGTGACTGGTTCGAGGTTCGATCGGCGGTGATGGAATGTAACTTGTTTGGTATCGAGGCATTGTAACCAGCCAATTTTATAATCTCAAAGATTTTTTACTCTCATTTTACTGTAATAAACATTTGTTTTCTTCGGTAAACATGCTGGAAAATTGGTCGGTTCCTTGTACCAGATCAGAAAATATCTGACTCTTTCTGCCATCAGATCAAAGCAAAAATTGTTATATCTGGGCTGGAGCTGACCAATCCCACTTTCCAGCCTTGACAGAGGCAAAAGCTTTTACGTGGTTTTGTGGGTGATTAATTAATTTTTTTTAACCCTACAGCCCCATTACCCCAAATGAAATGTTGCTACCCTTCTCTAGTCTATCCCTATTTCCATGGCAAATGTTCAGACGAACTCCATTTTTTTCATTTTATCAGTTTAGAGACCTTTACATTTAACACCCACCAAGCCATTTTTGTAGGCGTTAGCTAACACCCTACTGCATTTATATTAACACAAATGTCACGAAATATACACTGACAAGAGAATAACAAAATTCAAGTCAAAATACAGTACATTACATTAACAAGTACAATATTTGTTGTGTGTAGCATTTTAAGTTAAATGTTTTCGTGTTTGATGATTTGAATGTCAATAATATTTTCGATCAAAAGGTTGTATGTTGTTATAATGTAGCTCAAATTTAAGAAAGTATATTTAAGTATTTATGGTGAATTTAAAACAGTTTATATTTGCAAATAATTTTTGAAAATTTCAAAAGACTTACTGAGAGTTTGAAAGGGTTATCTCTCTTTGATCAGATATTTTATATTGAGTTTGGTTGCGTATTCAAGGTGTAAGTTTGTAATCTACGTTGCAGACCGAGTATTATGTTCAAAATAGGTTATTGACACGTGTGGACTGGCGTCGGGTATAAAATCTCCCTCCTCACGGGATTTATTGAATACAATTATGGCATTGTGGGGGTGAATTGAGTCGAGGCTGGTCGTCACTTAGTGTTGGGGATGTGCAGAATTAATTAATTGTAATTGAGTGAATCAGAAGGAGTTTGTGTAGGTTGCGTGATTTTCTGCATCCACAAACAAATAAATAAACGAATTTTAAATACAATCAAAACAAGACATATTCAATTTAGAAACCAACCAAACATTTATATACAATTTAAAAGTAATATATATACAGGATATTTTGGTATATGTTACCATGGCGAAGTGTGTGTGATATTTGAGGTTTCGGTATGTCTCGTTTTGTATTTGTATTTACAGTCTTTCTGGAGTTGTGTTAATTAACGTTAAAAATGTCGATGTTAAGTGTTTTTAGGAATGAGTTCTTATAGAGTGGTCTACCTTTGACTGTAATATTTCTGAATCGTTCGAATGTTGATTTTTACTTAATAATGTAGTGAGTATAGTTCACTTAGGATAAGCAATGTTGTTTTAGGTTTGCGATTTGATGTCCACAGAGTTGGTCGAGTTTAAATTGCAAGTGAGTCAGCGTTGATGTACTTTTGCGCGGTAAAATCGTGATTTCGAGTGACGTGGCGTATGTTGGCAATTTCTCTGTGGATGTTCGACTCTGACTCTTTTGGTCAGTCGGTATTTTCTTTTAGATGTTTTTGAAAGTCCAAAATCGGCTCAAAGAAGTTTTGGCGCAATTTCGTTTTGCACGTGAAACTTTCAGTCGTTAACCAATGAGATTTGTTGATTCGCCTAGTACGGTTTTTTATTGGTCGAAGTTTTCCGCACGTAGGCGTAAGGTATAGACTGTTCTGTTACTAGGGGTGATAGGTAGAAAAAGGAAGAGTCTACAATAGTATATACCGAGCTAATCCGATTCACGACTCATTCACTCGTTACAATTTTGCACATTCAACAAAAGAACTTGTCCTTCGTCATTCAATCCTCCATTTACCATAAATACCTCATACACTCAGCAGGAGGACCTACAATAACGCACCACGTGATAAAAAATTCGTGATTATAGATAAAAATTTGTAGATGAACTGATGAGTGAGGGGGAGTGAGTCCGAAAACAAACTAAAGATAACTGCTGATGTCCAATCCTTAAAAAAGGGGGAGGTCGATGTATTCTGTCCTTAGACAAAATCAAGAGGCTCTCTCTCTCCCTTCTCATTGAAAAAAAAATGATTTAAATGTCCCTTAAATAAGAAAAGTTCGTCACGTGATAGTCTCACAATGACTTAGCGGGGCTGTCTTTTCATTCAATTCAGACATAGTCGAAAACACGTCATCTCTTTATTTTTTCACATTTAATAACCAATCAGAACGCGTCATTCCGTATTTCTGCTTTGAGCCTATTTTAATGGGTTTTGAAAAGAATGTAGGATTTTGAACCCTACACCATGTTCACAGGGTCGAATCACCCTCATTCTCTTCGTATTCCATTAATAAGAAAGAAGTTCAACTCGGCTTCTTCTCGAGAACCACTACTTTGTGGGAAAGACTCGAGATCATTACAATCTTAACATCTTCAAGTCTGGTGTCAATCATCATCATTCATATCTTCATAACCTGCACATCCTTCCTTCGCTTACGGCCATAAAACAACCTCATTCAATAGACGTCTACTTTGAGTGGCTCCTGAGTCTTGTACAGAGTGAACATTAGTAAAAAAAAAAAAAGCTTCAGTTCAGATCATCACTAATTTTCATTATTTTTCTTAGTCCCTTAGTAAAAAATATAAGACGTTTGTTAGCGGCGTAAAAAATATGGAAAAGATCTTCAACGCTAAATTTCCCATTCTTTGTGATCTGAAGTTCAATGCTCTAGTATTGAGTTCAGGTCTCAGCACAGATTATTGGCTGTAAAAAAAATACGTCAGATCAACAGGAGCGATCTAGTAACAGCAACAGCAGTTGATTGGTCCGTTTTAAAACCTATGCTTTCAAAAAGAAACTCCTTCTTCTGTACTCCTTTGTTTAATGTCGGTTATACAAATAGCACTATTTGTTTGGGAAACATAAACGTTCAAATTCTGTTGTTAGCGAAAGGTATACCTTTTCCACAGGCAAATGTTTATGTTATTCCTATTTTGTGGAGTAAATATTTTATAAAATTTCATGTTTTGCTTTTGTTCTACATCCTTGAAATATAAGAGCTATAGTTATCTTTTCGGTAGATATACATGTAGCGGACCCCCTGGAGGGGGCGCGATATGAAACCACAGCCCGAGCCCCCCTGTATCATAGGTGAGGAAGGTCACAAGAGGCCCGCTAACGTTTTTCGTATTAAAGACGTGAAATCTGACAAGGTGAAACAAAATGGACAACAGAACGAGGATATGTAGGATTAACGCTAAGTTTATTTCATGAAGAAGAGACGATGGGGTATATTGGTCTGGCAATCGTGGTAATGGTGGTCGTATCGAGGGTTGGATTGGTCGTGTCGATTGCTGGAGTCGAGGTGCAGACATTCCGGTCGTGTCGACAGTTGGACGTTGAGGTCGACGACGAAATGCTGAGGTGCGTTCGTTCCGGTCGTCTCGACGGTTGGAGTCGAGGTGCAGACATTCCGGTCGTGTCGACAGTTGGACGTTGAGGTCGACGACGGGATGCTGAAGTGCGTTCGTTCCACTCGTGTCGACGGTTGGAGTCGAGGTGCAGACATTCCGGTCGTGTCGACAGTTGGACGATGAGGTCGACGACGGGATGCTGAGGTGCGTTCGTTCAAGTCGTGTCGACGGTTGGAGCCGAGGTGCAGGCATTCCGGTCGTGTCGACAGTTGGACGATGAGGTCGACGACGAGATGCTGAGGTGCGTTCGTTCCGGTGTTGTCGACGGTTGGAGCCGAGGTGCAGACATTCAGGTCGTGTCGACAGTTGGACGATGAGGTCGACGACGGGATGCTGAGGTGTGGTCGTTCTGGTTGTGTCGACGGTTAGAGTCGAGGTGCAGACATTCCGGTCGTGTCGACGGCTGGAGTCGAGGTGCAGACATTTCGGTCGTGTCGAAGGTTGGAACGTGTTTGAATACGTTAATCCTAGGAGCCTCACCATTTAACCGGAAAAAAACTTAATGATAAGCATTTCCATATGAGGACCAAAAAAAAACGGTGCAATTTTGAAAAGGACAGTCACATGCAATGAAAATTGGATTGTTTACAATAATGAGAAAGGAAAATAATATCAGCCACTGTTAACCACTCCAAAAGCTGGTTTGCATTCGAAGAAGGTGACGCTGTGTATTTAACAGGATTGGGAGAACATTGTATATTACAAGCTCCTTTCATAAAATCAGACTTTGAATTCAAACAAGTACTGTTCCCAACTTGACTGATTAAATGCAATGATGTCTCGAAATCGTATCGTGGCTGAAGTTTATCAAGGGGATACACGAGCGAACTCTATATCTTTTCACCATTGTGCTGGATTATCCACCAAGCAGTGCAAGACAAAGAAGAGAAACTAGGATTCAAACTGGATAGAGGAATTCGTTGTCAAAAGTCAACAATAATAACATATCGCCCCAATTATAGAAGCAAAAAGTCACGCCCAAGAACATCTTTCCAGAGTATAGACTGAAACAAGCAAGGTTGGCTTGAATCTCAATGACTCCAATTCAATTAGGAAACACAAAACCAAGTGTATACCTTAGACGGTAGAAAAATTAAAATCGTCCAAGACTTCAAATACGTTTAATTTTATATATTTATTATATAAAACCCTGCCTTGGATGTTTATTTTATGTGGGATGTGTGGCAGGGAATGGATAACGTCGCGGAATGATAAATCGAAGAGCCGAGTTCAAATTCTAGTCGCGCTTGTTACATTCACTTAGGCGGAAATACCTCTGGGAATGCTACGAATCCTTCTCTTCTTCCCTTGGTAAATAGCAGGACAGATTGGTTGGCAACTAGTCTAGAAGAAAAACTCTGAATTTAAACCAGCCTGGAGAGGATTGGCATTCGTCAGGTTAACTTGCCTAAGACACACCACCTAACAAATTACGTGATTTCGGATCGGGGTGGTTGACTCTGTGATTTTCGTATTTTTTGTATTTAATTTTTTGCCTTGTTCTGTATTCAATGCAATATCATTTTTTTTATACATTGAAGAAGAAAAAATACTAAAAGAATGTCTTGCGTGAAATAATTGTATAAGAAATCATCATCAATTGGTCTGGGTCTGTTTGCGAGGTGACGGTATTTGAAATTATTGAATTTACTTCCGATGCTCTCCTTCTCGTTCTTCTTTTTCCATGGTTTGTTTATACTGACCAATGTGATAGTCATCTATATCAAAAGTGGTTAACAGTGGATTGTGTATTGCTAGAAAGCGCGCTCCTACAGTTTGTATATGGCTTGTTTCAGTGTAGGTGTTGTTAAAAATTATTTTTCCCCCTCTGAGTAAATTTCGGATCTAGGTAATTTGGGGGAAGGGATAAAGGTAATAAAATAATTTACTGAAACCTGAACCTTGCCAGCCTGCGCGCAAAGTTCCTTGATCAAGCAGTGAAGTGGGTCAATTGAAGGCGAAGAAAAGAGAAAGAAAAACAAAAGTGTTTTTCTACTACAATAAATTGTTTTGATAAACGTATTTTTTTTTAACCAATGGCTACTAGAGCCGGTTGAAATCTGAAATGCTTGTGTTCACCGCCAAAATTTGTCGGGTAAATCGGAGCCGACCTTTAGCTATAAAAAAAAAAACCCTGCAATACGATCATTGCCAGGAGTAGGGCGATTTAACGCGGGACAGTAAGGTACACGACATCGAGGAGTAGTAGATACGACCGCCAAGAGTGGAGGACGCGGTTCAAAGGAGGGAGAAACGCGATGCCTTCTTTAAACACCTGAAAACCTGACCGAGCAGCCGCAAAAATAGACTCCTCAACGAAGTATTGACAACTAAATTGACGTTTTCACGACAGAATTAAGTCTTATTTTGACCCTGACTATTGTAACAAAATAGTCATTTCCCTGTCAGAGAACAAGTACTGTCCTCAAAACAACACTCTACGTTGAAGACTCTGAACACAAACGGATTCTGTCACGAACTTCGATAACTCACATAAAATCACAAGAGCTATTAAAAACATTCACATTTATACCTTCAAGGTAAATATACCCTTTTAACTCAGTCCGACCTCACTAAAAGCCTTTTTTTATTTATTGTGCCTTCTTTGTAATTTGCATTGTTTTGTATACACAGACATTTTTCATGTTATTTGATATTGATTGTAAACTTGATCTTTTCCCCACAACTACTATTGAGCTTTATTGTCGATTGATCGCAATTCTCCATAATCTCTTTTAACCGGGCCCTTTAAAATATATATTAGTATTACGCCACGCCATTTTTAGGAAAATAAAAAAGTTTGAGGCATTTAGACATTTCGTTAAATCGCTTTCCCTTGAGTTTGGGTTTGTGCTATTCGCTTAAGTACTTGTTAAGTCATTGTTATTCCTCTTGGAGTCTTGACCTTGTAGCAGTCGATACAGATTGTTTGGTCAGATACAAATGCGTTAAAAACACTATTAATAGAAGCTATCTTTTTCAGCATTTTGAGTATGCGTATAAAAATAAAACTGGGAGTATGTGTATTTTCAAGAGACTAACCCTTTTCGATCAGTTTTGCAGTCGAGGCAAAACGTGAGTCTCTGCGGTTCCAAAACACAATGCATGGCCCGGAAGTTAAACCCATTCATTCCTTCACTAGACAACAGGAAGTTCAATCACATCCATACCTTCCTTTTTACAGCGACTAACAATTGAACATTTCTTAAATTTACATTTTCTTTCAGGAATAAAAATTTCTATCTCATTTTTATCTATTTTTGTGTTTGCCCGTTTGCGTAAATCTTCGAATGATTAGCACTTGATTTTGAAAAGAAAAATGACTTACCTTTCTTAACTTTAGTTAAAATACACTTATTTAAGGGTGTCTGTTAGTGTTACCTGTCAATTGAACTGTCCCTATCCATATATAATGAAAGCTTGTTCAAATTTACGAGCCTATCATGGAATATCTGAAGTATGGGAGACCATAAATAATAAAACCCGGTATTACAATTGCAAAAGTATAACCTTAACATTAAAACACAATCACATGAAGGGTAGTTCACGTAATTACACCAATGTCAGAGGTCAGCGTTACTGTTCGGGGTCAGGTAAAAATTAAACCTACATATTCTTGAAAGATTGGACTTACATATTTTTCCCTTCTGGTCTTTTCTGGTTTTATTACCTGGTCCAGTCGAAGTTTCAAATTAATATTAGCTCGAACCTCAGAGACACCTCCCAGGCAGCATCTCTCCTTCAGACGTCAATATCTAGCACCTGAGACGTCCCTAATGGACTTTAGCAAATTTGGAACGGCTTTCAAAATTCCGCACTAGACGCAACATTATGCCACATTTCGTATGACGTGGACGTACAGAAGGTAAGTTTAACTATCATATTAATAATTGAAAAAAATTAAAAAAAAATTTTTTTTTTAAATCCCTAAAACAGAAAACTGCTGTCAAGCAAGAGGTTACATTTTTCGTTAACACTTTGTGCTTCTTTCTTTCTTTCTTTCTTTCTTTCTTTCTTTCTTTCTTTCTTTCTTTCTATTTTTTTTTTTTTTACCGAGAGAAAGCATTTGTTATCAGCAGATTTCAACGAAAGGTAGGTAAAAGCGGCAAACTTGGTTTGTGTGAAGGAAGCCAGTCTTGATTTTCTTTTTAGTCACCTTTTGACACAATCGGCAGTTTCCTGTTGGATCCCTCTCTCCTGGTTAAGCTAGATTCTTTTGTTTACCGAGTTAATGTGAGTAATTGTTGCTCCCGGCATTCTCTTTTGTTATGATGCATATCAAGATTCCCAACCTCCCCAATTTGTTTTTTCGTTCCCCATTTTTTATCTTGACTAGATTAGCCTTTGATAATTCTCCACTCCGTAATTTATTTTGTCTCCTTCTTGTCCCTAACGAGTGAGCTGATTGATTTTACTCAGCGGCAGAATACAGTGGACACACCTACTTTTCTGTGGGGTGGACGGGCCCTATTTTAATTTAAGTTTGAATGTTTTGATGCACTTTATTTTCGTTATTGTATATACCCCCTCCCCCCTCATTTCGTGTCATATTTTTATATATTTTCATGAAAAAGCCCCCCCCACCAAAAAAAGAACAAAAATAAATCAGTTGTATCTATTTTCATATTGGTGTTTTCGTAGGATTCCTCTGAATATGCATATATGTCTTGGATTTAATGGCAATGAATGAGTTCATGTGGTGGTGTATGAGTAAATTGTAATGGATGAATTCCTCGTGAATGTGTGGAGCTCTAATGAAATTTGGTAAGAAATGTATCAGAAGGGTTTTGATGAAGGTTGCGTTTCGAAATTAGCACACCACATTTAATTTGCAAAGAAACATGAAAAAGAATGACAAGAGATCATTGAATGGCCAACAAGAAAAACATGTATTGAAAACAAGTAACAATTGTATTGTGTTAATGACAATAAGGTTTGAGACGTAAAAAGTTGTACCCCTTATATCGTGTGGGAATACAAATATGTGTTGTAAGAAGTTTTCTTGTTGAGATTTGTTTAGAGTTCAAGAGCATTTGATACTTGAATTTTAAAGTGAGAATGTTGTGCAAAAGAATGATAAAGTTGTAGTGGACCGTTGGCTGTGATGTTGTCGAGTAGACGTAGAAGAACACATGTGGGTTCAGATTTTCCTGCTAGCCGGTCCAATTACATGAAAAGGTTGGACTTTAATTAAGTCCAAAGAATGCAAAGAAAACAAACACAAGACCGATAATATATGCATACAAATATATATATTAATAACAAGTTACATGGAAACAGTTGCAAAGGACAAAGTGTGTGTGTGAATATTATATATGTGCGTGTGTATTGTGCTTAGCGTGTTCCCAGCATTTGGGAAACGCTATCCCTGTGAGTGTTCACATCATCGAGATAAAAGGCTGAAAGCCTGAGGAAAGAGAGAGATTTACCTCCAGGTGTCGGCCCAAAGGCCTGAGGAAAAAAAAAAAAAAAGGAAGAGGCGAAGGGTCAGCGACTATTTATAGCCAGGGAAGAGAGACCCCTGGTGAAAGGGTTAACGAACTAAAGGAGGAGTTAACCCCGACAAAGTCTTGAATAGTTCACTTGGCCTTTGAAACAGACAGTTCACAGTTTTGTGTGTATGTAACTTATGTCTGTGTGTGTGTTTGAGTAGAAGATTGAGAATACACATACGTGGTTAAAGGCTCTGAAATTTAATAGTCTACTAATGCTCTTCCTTTAATTTCTGCTATATATACACATAACATAGGCTCCAGGGTCGAGAGCGGGAAAAATATTGAAAAAAGTGTCAATTTATGTGATTGGTCAAAAATCGACCAATTGTTGATTGTTTTTTACAAGTTTGGTAAGGTAAAACATGAGAAAATTTAATATGGCTCATGCGATGCGTAAATTGTCTTTAAAGAAAATAGTGTATATTTTCTGTCCAGTGACTGTTGAGTGATTTGTGGGCGTGGTGTATGTAAACGTCCACTACAAATGAAATTGGCATAGTGTAGGATAGTTAGTGACGACCATCCTTTCCCTCGCCTCCTCATGAGATACAATATTTCAAAATAAACACGATTCCGTGGCCAGATGACTAGGGCCAAAGTGTAGTATCTGTTCCAACAGCTGAAAGCTGCCCCACGGGCCCAAACACCAGCAGCAGCAGTTCTAGCTAAGTCAGCCATCATCATCTCCAGCCGCAACGATATACAAAAACAAAAAAACTGTCCTTTTCAAAGCAACTCTTCGCTGACTATAAATCTCCTTCTCAGAACAACGCTCGTTTCACCCTCTACAAACATGAGCACGCAGAGATATTATTTTGTGGCGGACTTCCACCGCATTTATTTAATTTTGATTAGGAAACCAAACTGATGCGAAGAAAGGACAAGGCAAACATATCATTATATATAAAAATTGTATTCAACAATGTACACAATAAAGAATGTGTAAGAAAAAGCATGCAATGAGTAAGACGTGAGTTGTCTCTCTTTGACTATCATTGTCTATCAAAGTTCTCTGAAAAGAAAGACTTAGTTTGTAATAAATGTTTTTTAACAGTTTAGCTGTCCAAGAGGAAAATTTATGTAAGTGTAAGGAATATGCAGTTTGTGAGTGTTGAGTGAGAAGATAGGCGCATAGCTTTGTGATGCGTGTTCTTAGCGCATATATCTATTGTACATTTAACGATTCAAGAAAAAACAACGTAACTCCACTTGTGGATCAACAAATAAATATATATTGAAATATAACAATCATGTCTATGTGTGCGTGTGAAATGTTGTGAGTAAAGTCGTAGATTTGTGTGGACAGGCGAAATAGCTGGACTACTGGAGCTTGTGGCAAAATTGCTTCTTTTTAAGGTACCGGTAGGCTCCGAGTGAAAACGCGGGAAAAATTGGTTTAGTATTAAATTGTTTGATTGGTTAAAATTTGATCAATTACTGATTTTGTATCAAAGAAACATGTGAGCAAGTTCACGACCGAAAAATTCAAAGTGATGACTGCGATTGCTAAATTGTCTTATAGAAAAGCAGTATTAATTTACTAGCCAATCGCAGACGAATAAATTGTGGGCGTGGAAAAGCATAGCAGTCGCTAGAGCTTCAATTGTCGTGGATTTCTGTGGCAGTTGAAGTCTCACCGGTGTGTCTACACTTTATTTATTTATTTATTTTTATTTATTTATTTTATTTTTTTTTTTGCTTTTATAGGTGATCATTGGATCAGAAGCGCAGGAAGAATCACTCTTCACGTGCAGACAATCCGATTGGTCGACACTGCCCAATCAGTGAATGAGCTTTGGGGAGACTTCTGGGAGCCGATTCTTCCAAAAGTGCACAAAATCTACTATATCTACATTTCAACTATATCTATATTTCTACAATATCTACGATTTCATAATTGTCGCATAAGACAGTAGCGTTGATTTTTATCCAATGAATGATTGTTATTGAAATTTGAATTTTTATATGTATGTATGTATGTATGTATGTATGTATGATGATCGCTATAATTTAACCTTATTTTTGTTAACTATTTTCTTTAACGAAAATAAACTTGGCTATATATTTTTTTACTCAACTCTTTGTCTTGTTTGTTGTTGTTTTCTGTCATTCAGTATCTCTTTGTGCGCCAATATACTGCCCGCAACACTACTTTCTAACGATACCAAACTTATGGTTATAAAAAAAAAACCCTGCAAAATATAAGAAATAAAAAAGGCAATAAAGTACATAAAAACTGAGTTTACAGAATAAGGTATTCAATGTTTAAAATTTATAACAGATGAAGAGTTTTAAATTGGAAACTAATTTATTTGCTAAAACAGCATCTATGTGGTGAGCGTGTAAAAAAAAAAAAAAAAAAAAAAATTGCGGTGAGTTCCATCCTCACTAGGTGTCCCTCTACTGTTGTCTTGTGTCAGGCTAAATTTATTTTTAAGTTAGAAAAAAATGAAATATTTGAAAACCTTTCTATAGGAAAACAATGTTAATGAAAGTACGAAACTGCGGCGAAACGAGTCACGTGATACAAGGAGGTATTCACCATGGCGGAAGGTAAGCCAGTTGTATTAATTAAGACTTTTTTTTTATCGAAAAATCTTCATCACTTCTCTGTCATTTTAACTCTTTCCAACAACTGAGGCATAAATATTTTAGATACATCCTAGATCGAGTTCTAATGTCGAGTACTTATAGTTTGATCACATTTTAATGTGAAATGTTTTGTCATTTGTTGCTTTTGCTCCGTATTAAAAATGAATTATTATTAGCGATCTCGTATCTTTAAGTAAGTTGTTCGTAGAAATGTTCTTGTCTTCCCAAGTTCTTTTTTTTATCTACATTTTTATTTTAATTAAGAGAAACATGTTTAACAATATTCACAGTCGATAATATTCTATTCTAATAACATTTAAAAACAAGAAAAAAGTTCACTTTGGGAACTGTTTCTATACTAGAAATCAGTTAAAATTAAATTCACATGTTTATTTATTTTCATTCTCTTACGGTTTTTTTTCTTCAGCAATGTTTTTACCCTTTTTCTTTACAATTACATGTAATGTCATAATTTGTATCCTTTTTTCGCTGTCTTTTAAATAATTGTCCGATTTTCAAAAGTTTATAATAATAAAAATGTATGGTTCATTCAAACGATTTTCTCACAGTTGTGTAGTCTGCTATACATGAAGTTAATATACATTGTCTGCGTGTGCATAATCGTTTTTTTTTTTTTATAATTTTATGTAAATCCATTTTTGATATTATTTCCAATCTGTCTGTGAGTTTCAGTTGAGCCCGTAATTTCCACACCCACCGTTTTACCAAAAATTAAATTCTTCCTCGTTGTTATCTCTGGTTTCTTTACTGACCAAATGAACTCTACAATCTGGATTATTAATTTCCACCCATTTTTACGCACCTGGTCATTGTCAGTAATTAAAAAAAAGGCCATGTGAAAAAATAGTTTTCAGTTTACACTTTTAAACTGATAAATTCGCAACTTAATATTTTTATTTTTTTTTAGAAAGAAATGAAAACACCTTTAAATCATTCTTCTTTTAAAAAAAAAACATAGCA